GGTCCATCATCAAGCCATAAGGTGATGATTCCCATGAAGGTCTTTTCTTTGACCTGAGAGATGAGAAATTGCTTTGACTGAGACTTTTAACTTGACAACTTCAGCCCTCTCTGGGTCTCAGTCATAAACCACTTTGTTTCTGTCAAGTGGCATTTTAAGAATTTCTTTAATCACATTTCTGTATTCATTTATTCATTCATCTCCTTCACTTACATTGTTAAGTCCTTAACACCCAAAATTTCTGTGCATCTCCCAGGAAAATTTGAAGGGTCACCCTCTAGTGCAGCAGTTTCTTATTTGAAGTTATCTGCTTGTCAAACTCCGTGACTGGGAGGGAAGGAAGGAGTCAGAGGCACCCAATTGATTTAGGAGGAGTTTTCTGGTTTGAATAGACCTCAATTCCCTTTCATGATAGAACATAAACTTTGTGGGGCTTTTTTTATTGCTAATCTGTTTGACTCTAGTCTAGAGCTGCAATTAAAATGAGGGAAGAAATGACAGTGATGGCTTTTTGCCCAGCACTCTGGTTTGTTTGGTTTTAGTTTGCTCTTTTTCTGTTCTTACAAAAAAGGTGAAGTGTGCTAAACCTAAATTAGCCCTCTTTCCTTTTCTTTTTCATTTTTCTTCCTTTTTTCTTTTTCTCTTTCTTTTTCATTTTATTTTCCCTTTTTCTTTTCCTTTTTTTCCTTTTCCTTTTTTTCCTTTTCTATTTTCTCTTCCTTTTTTCTTTTTCTCTTTCTTTTTCTTTATCTTTTTGTTTTTCTTTTCTTTTCCTTTTTTCATTTTCTTTTTCTCTTCCTTTTTTCTTTTTCTCTTTCTTTTTCTTTTTTCTTTTTCTTTTTCTCTTCCTTTTTCATTTTCTTTTTCTTTTTCTTTCTCTTTTTCTTCTTTTTCTTTTTTTATTTTCTTTTTCTTTCTTTTTCTTTTTCTTCTTTTTCTTTTTTTATTTTCTTTTTCTTTTGTTTTTTCTTTTTCTATTTCTTTCTCTTTTTCTTTCTCTTTTTCTTTTTTCTTCTTCTTTTTTCTTTCTTTTTCTTTTCCTTTATCTTTTTCTATTTCTTTTTCTTTCTCTTTTTTCTTTTTTCTTCTTCTTTTTTCTTTCTTTTTCTTTTCTTTTCTTTATCTTTGTTTTCTTTTCTTTTCCTTTTTCTCATTTTCTTTTTCTCTTTCTTTTTCTTTTTCTCTTTCTTTTCCTTTTTCTCTTCCTTTTTTCTTTTTCTCTTTCTTTTTCTTTTTCTCTTTCTCTTTTTCTTCTTTGCTTTTCCTTTTCCTTTCTCTTTTTCTTCTTTTCTTTTCCTTTTGCTTTTCCTTTTCCTTTACCTCTGTCTTTTTCTTGGGTCCAGGACAGATTTAGATCAAAGAAGGGACCCTTTAAAGTCCCTCAGTGCTGTTCCCTGGGCTACCACCCCTGCTTGCAGGAGGAGTAGATTTACACAAATCACCAGAGGACTGATGAAAACCCCTTTTCTCAGTGACAGATTAATCCATATTTTCTTTTATGCTGCCCAGAAGACACAACCTGTGGGAAGGGAGTGACTCAGCTGCTCCTGCCCCCAGCAAGAGCTCATCTTGTCCCAGCCTGCTCAAAGAGGCTTCCTTGGAGTCTTATTTACAAACTGTTCATCGATCCCACTCCTGATCCTATTGCTGACACACTCCTGGAGGACTGGGGAGTGCTGGGCAGGCAGTGCCTGCTTTGCAGATGCTGAAATTAAGGTTTTCCAGCACGGTACAAACCCAAAACTGCATCTCCATAACTGTAGGTCCATTTTAGACACTTGTCTCAGAGACATAACTAAAGGAAAAGGAAAGGGGAAAGGAAAAGGGAAAGAGAAGGGGAAATGGAAAATGGGAAAAGGGAAAGGGAAAGAAAAGGAAAAGGGAAAATGGGGAAAGGGAAAGAAGGAAAAGGGAAAGGAAAAGGAAAAAGAAAGGGAAAAAAGGAAAAAGAAAAAAGAAAAAGAGGGAAAAAAAAGAAAAGAAAAAGAAAAGGAAAAGAAAAAAGGAAAAAAGGGGAAAAGGAAAGAAAAAAGGAAAAGAAAATTAAAAAGAAAGAGAAAAAGAAAAGGAAAAAGAAAAGGAAAAAGAAAAAAAAAAAGAAAAGGAAAAAGAAAAAGGAGAAAGAAAAGGAAAAGAGAAGAGGAAAAGGGAAAAGAAAACAGGGAAAAGAAAAAGGTCCATGTCTATTACAGTTCCAAAGAGGGGAAGAAGAGAGGAGCCACTTGGGTGGATGTGCCATCCACAAAGCCAAGGAAAACCATCTCGTGCCACATCCCATGTGGACCTGAGCAGGGCAAGGTCCCTGAAGCAAAAACAGGGAAATAAGCTGATGTAAATGAGACAGTGGAAGGGAGAGGGTAGAAAAAGCAGCAAAGCAATGCAGCTATTCCTGCTGAAAGTGTCTGTTCCAAAAATAGTCTGTGTTAGTCCTTCAATACTGACACATCATGAGTTCTGCTCTTCACGAAAAAAAAAACCCTTCAGTGAGCTGTAATGGCTCATCTCTGCCCAGTGCCTGTCATCTAAAGGGTAAAACATCTTACATAAACATGGATTTTATTTGCCAGCACTATAACAGCCTCTCTGAGGCTGAATCTAATCAATCAGGCAGGCAGAGACCCATTACCAAGGGCTGTCTGTAATAAGGTCTCTCAAAAGCCAGGAAGGGCCGTTTTCCAAATGTGTCTCTGAGCTGGATGTCAAAGAGGATTCAGCAGGGCAAGTGCATCTCTCATAGAAATATCTGGTCTGGTTTAATTTCACCCAGTTCAGGCAATAGTGGCAAAGCCAGGCAGCAAAAGAAATATCATTATTTAATTTTAAAGATAGGACAGTGCCTCCAGCTCTGCTCCAGGTCCAGCTCTGCAGAACATCCCCGTGCTGCAGGGGATCCCTGGCTGCAAGATGTGCTCAAAATGGTCCACAAAAATAGCTTTTCTCCAGGTAAACCCCAAAATTGCAGGGGTGGTAGCAACTGCTCAAACAGGCAAACATCCCTCAGCAAGGAGCAAAGGGTTGATCTGCTGCAGGTCCCTCAGAGATAGAAGATGCCAAAGCCCAGCTGCTGCCATGGGGATAGAAGAATAAAACCACGGAAAAATTAATACTGGAAAAACCTCTGATATCAGCAAGTCCAACTGCTGGCCATGATCCACCTCAGGTCTGTAACAATCCACCACCATTTTAGGGGAGAAAGTAGGGCCAGAGAACACTCCAGAAGCAAAGATTGCCAATAATGGGAGAAGAGGTGATGGATTTAGGCTGAGTTCAGCACAGCTTCCTCTCTGGACAGCAAAGTCAGGCTGCAAATCCCTTCCTGAGAGTCTCTGCTGGGCAGAAATCACTGTTTGTGAGCAGCTTTTCCTTGTCCTGTGAAGTCCTGCAGCTCCTTGTGATGTCCCCAGTGTCACACACACTGACAGGTGATTTGGAGCGATCAGTGGCAACTGGTGGCACCAAGAAGACACTTTCCACGCTTGCCTTTTTCACCAGTGTGTTTCCCAGCAGCTGCTTTCAGCAGGAGAGGGGGAAGTGGGAGTTTGTCACTGGTGCAGGTCAATTAGTGCTCTAAATTCGGCATCTTGCACGTGCAGAGCACCAGGGAAGAGCCATTAATCAGCAAGTTCTGGCAGTCAGGTTCTCCTGCAGGGTGTTATCCCAGCAGACTCAGGTTCTCCTGCAGAGTTGTTATCCCAGCAGGCTCGCTGAAGGCAGCAGGGCTTTTGCTGAGTCAGCATCTCAGTGATGCAACTGGTGACCTCCTGTAAACCTGCAGCTGAAAAGACCTGGATTCTTCACGTGCTGGGGCAATAACCAGCGCTGGAATTCTCCTTGAGGGCAGCTGATTTCTGCCTTCAGGTGTTTCTCAGTGGGTTTGGCCCCTAAGTGTCAGAAATTTCCCTTTTTATTTAGTTCTTTTGTGAGGGAGCTGCTCCCATTCCTTGGGCTGCAGTGAAGTCTCCACACGGTGAGTTGCTGTGTTTAATTATTCATGTCCTGAAGAAAAACAGTGCACCTTCCCTCTTCCAATCCCTCCCTTTCCAGTGCAATCAAATATGTTCATGCTTGTGTGTGTTTATCCCCTACTTTAAATATATATATATATATATATGTATCTGTCCTTCTTTTCCTAACTGAGGAGCATTTTTTTGCAACTTGGCTTTCTTCAAACTCCTGGCTCATACCAGGCCATGGAGTGATTAAAACTGGACTTATTTTTTGATTTGTCTTTTTTGGGGGAGGTTTTGTTGTTGGCATTTTGGATTTGGGTTTGGTTTTTTTTCTTTTTATCCTGGGGATCATTTCTTTGGGTTTAAGGAGCCAGGTGTCAGTAGCAGGCAGCCCCACCGAGGATGATGAGGGGACTTTGATGACCAAGTCCGCAGTGTCATTCCTCAAGATCACAAAATCAGAGAACATCCTGAGTTGGAAGGGACCCACAAGAATCATGGACTCCACAACTCCTGGCCCTGCACAGGACACCCCAAAAATCACACCAGGTGCCTGAGAGTGTTGTAAAACCACTTCTGCAACTCTGGCAGGTTTGGGGCGTGACCAAGCTGACTGAGTTGATCCCAGCTCGAGGCTGTGCCTTTTTGGAGGGTTCTCCTGGCATCCACTCCAAAGCAGCTTCCCACAGATGTGCACCCAAAACTTCCAGAGAACAACATCGAGCTGGGACCGTGGCCCAGCAGTTTGTCAGCAGGGTTTCCAAGCCTGAGAGCATTCCCAGGTCCATCAAACAGCACCCAGACCCGAGCTGGCTCCCAAGGATTCCACACTGTCCACGCAGAGATTAACATGTCAACCGTGTCCACCCCAAAAAAGCTTTGGAGGGCTTTTAGCTTTTCACCATGGAACTCATTCCAAAAGGAACTTCAGGTTCTGCCCAAATCAGTCCCAAAGACACACACACAGGGCAAGGTGTAAGTGGTAATTTGGTGTCTCTGCTCTGGGAACGTGCTGCAGTTCACCACTCCTCCTTTGTTCTTCTCTTCCAGGTAGGCTGCAAAGCCATGATGGTTTTCTTCCAGTACTGTGTGATGGCCAACTTCTTCTGGCTGCTGGTGGAGGGGCTGTACCTTCACACCCTGCTGGTCATCTCCTTCTTCTCGGAGAGGAAGTACTTCTGGTGGTACATCCTGATCGGCTGGGGTACGCGTCTGCCCCGAGCTTTTAACCCAGAAACCCGGGGGCTCAGGTGGGGCAGAGGTGTGGTGGACAGTCCTGAGAAGGACTTGAGGGTGCTGGTGGATGAGAGGCTGGACAGGAGCTGGGGATGTGCCCTGACAGCCCAGAAAGCTGGGATGTCCTGGGATGTATCGAAAGGATCGTGACCAGCAGATTCAGGAGGGGTCTGTGACCCTGCTGTTCTGCTCTGGTGAGACCCCAATTGCAGAGCTGCCTCCAGCTCTGACCCCCCAACATGAGGAGGAGATGGAGCTGCTGGAGCAAGTCCAGAGGAGGCCAAGAAGGTGCTTTGAGAGCTGGAGCCCCTCTGCTCTGGAGCCAGGCTGGGAGAGTTTGGAGTGTTCCTGGAGAAGAGAAGGCTCCAGGAAAACCTCAGAGCCCCTTCCAGGGCCTAAAGGAGCTCCAGGAGAGCTGGAGAGGGACTTGGGAAAAGGGATGGAGTGACAGGACAAGGGGTGATGGCTTCAAACTGAAAAAGAGTATATTTAGATGAGATATTAGGAAGAAATCCTTCCCTGTGAGGGTGGGCAGGCCCTGGCACAGGTTGCCCAGAGAAGCTGTGGCTGCCCCTGGATCCCTGGAAGTGTCCAAGGCCAGGTTGGACGGGGCTTGGAGCAACCTGGGCTAGGGGGTTGGAGCTGGATGAGCTTTAAGGTCCCTTCCAACCCAAACCATTCCAGGATTCCATATGTGCTACCTTGCTGCCAAGGATTTCCTGCAGCCAGGAGCAAGATCAAGTGATGTCCAGAGGGGTTTTACTGAATTCAGGCCAGGCAGATATCCTGGGATTGCCATCACCTGAGTGCCAATGCTGATAACCCTCTGCTTCCTGCATTTGGGATTTTTCCAGCTTTAATGCAAATGTAATGCATTAAATGCATTTCTCCAGCATTAATGCAAAAATCCGGTCTTGAACACATAAAATAAATAAAATAAAATAAAATAAAATAAAATAAAATAAAATAAAGAAATAAAAGGATTCTGTGAAATGGAATAGAATAAAATACAATGAGAAAATGCCAAGGAAGGCAGAATCAAGCTCTTCACAAAGCAACTCACAACTGAATTGTTAACCTATGCAAATTAATCCTACCAGATCCACTTCTTTTCTTTCTCCAGAAAGAAATCAGAGGTCTTTTTTTCCCCCTTAATGCCATTTAGTTGAAAATTTATGTTTAAGTAAGCAAATAGCTTTCTACTGAATGCTCTCAGCAGCTAAAACTGAGGAATAACGAGAGCAGGGAAGAACCTAGAAAAGATTAAATAAAATCGTGTCACATCCAGGGATACATCTGGACCCAGGATTTGATCAATCAGCCATGGAGTAACTTCCATTGGAAGTGACAGGAGCTATGCTTGGGTTCACACCACAAAAAAGAGGGACAGCTCTCTGGGCTGGAAGCACAAGAAGGGATGACGTTGGCAGGCTTTGATTTACATGCAGTTAATCAGGTCAGACCCTCTTTAAACCTGCCTTGTGCCTGGATATCCTTCATTTCGGCACCTTGGAGCTGCAGATTTTAAAGAGAAATGAATGAAAGTAATGATTTTAAATCAGAGATAATTTCTGTCCCTCATAATGTGTTCTGAGGTTGCTTGAGTGAAGAAGGGAAATTCCAGGGAATGGCTTGAGGGATCTTTTGGTCTTTTAGTCATCCATCATTTGCAAGAGCATCAGTGATGGGCCTGAAATGGATTATGCATGAATTAATAATTTGGATGCACTAATTACATTTCTTAGTGGCTTTATTGCCATTGCACCTGGAAATCACTGGTGATAAACCCCACACAAGCTGTGAGTGACACAGAGCAAAGTGACACGTCCTTCCCAAAGTATTTCCAACCTAAATCCAGTCCAAGACAAGAGACAGGGAAAAGAGGGACCACTCTGATGGAGCGAGACCACCTCAATCCTGCAGATGATCATGCAGTGAGGAGCAGAGGCAGGTTCATCTGGCCAGCTGCAGACACCTGCATGCGAACTTGTCACAGTGGTCAGTGGAAATCCAGGGAAAAACAGTCAAGGGATATTTCATATGTCTTGTCCTGGAGCAAACATTGACCTGTGTGTTAGAAGCACGTTATTCCTCCCCGTTGATGCTACACAGAGCTTGTGGTGACTGCCTTTGGTACAGGTGTCCACACTGTAAATGCCTGAATGGATGCCTGTTCCTTGCATTTCACCATCTGAAGTCCTTTTTCAGGCATTGCTGCGACAGGAATTTTAAGTGCTGGGGAGCAGTTACAGGAAACTCATCTCACAGGGTGGATGGGAGAGGAAGGCAACACGTTGCCTGTTTGGCCTGTGAGCATTAAAGAGGTGGAGCATTTGCCCAGTCCTGAGGGAAGGCATCACCTCAGTCCCTCCCTCACCTCAGGAGAGATGGAGAAAGAGAGGGAGAACAGCCCTGAGGACACTGATAATGATTTCTGACAGTAACACCACCCCTTTTCTCTTGCCAGGTGCCCCCTCCGTGTTCATCACTGCTTGGACCATTGTCAGGATTTACTTCTTTGACGTTGGGTAAGCCTGTGGACTCAGTTCTCTTTCCTTCATGATTCTTCCTCCCTTCCTCTCCCAGGAAAGCCCTTTAGGAAGCCACCATCCCAGCAGTCAGAGCAGAGCAGAGCAGAGCAGAGCAGAGGGTCTCCCCTGCCACCACGAACCATGAAATGCTCCAAGGTCTCCCTGAAGACACACGTTTTATGTCAGCTTAGACCAGTCACTCACCCTCTTTGCTTCCCCATCCCTTGGTCAGGGTATTTGTGAGCAGCCCCTGATGTTTTCATTTGGCCCAGGTGTAGATGTCAACATGATGAAGTCAAGTGAGCCCTACCAGAAATTTTCATTGCTCGGAGCAGAGCTTTGCATCCTGCAAAAACGTGAAGCAGATGCTCAATAAACACACCTTTTACCTCTCCCACAGAAAAGTCTAAAACCTCTTTTTTTTTTTTTTCTTTTCTTTTCCCAAGCAGATTTTAGCATCTGTTCTTCATCCTCTTTAACCTTGCAGCAGCCTTTGATATTTTAGATAAGAAGCAGGTAGGATACAGCCAAGAAAATGAGGCAGATAGCAGAGTTATCCAAGGATATATGAAAGTAAAATGGATTTGATTCTGCAATCCTCCTTCTTGCTTTTATTCAAGCAGTCAAGAGCTACAGTAATTGGAAAGGTTTTTAGGGGAAAACACTCCAGAGAGTTACAGAATCGGGTGCTTGTTCTGCCCTCACTGTGCATGCCCTCACTTCTTGCATTTGCATCCCACAGCTAATTCCATTTTCTCCCTCTCCAAGTGTGTCCTGAATTGCCCTTATTTCGGTTGGAGAAGGATTTCTCATTGCATTTTTGATTTATAGTCATGCTCACACATTTCCTGAGGGCCACTCACTTCCTTTGTGCTTTCACTCTCCCTGCATAAAACTGACCTTCTTTCCTCTGTTAATAAATAGCCTCCCCAATGAGATAGAGACAGGAGGATTTAACCATTCTGGGTGCCAGTGCTTCTTACTGTACATTCCCACTCAGCTCCAGCAATTCTTAATAAAAATACAGCCTTCTTTGCGTTTTCTGGAGGCTTTAAAGCTCTGCATTTTTGTGCCAAGCAAAACAGGGTGAATTTACAGGATATGCTAATACCTAACACAGATTATTTTTTCCATACCAGAGTTACCTACAGAGCAAAATTACAGGAAGTTAATCCAGATGAAATAAACTAATTATGTCAGATCAGTTAAACAACATTAAGCCTCCGTTCAAACATTTTAACTCCAAATTAAAATGACCTCCACTCAGGCTGTCTGAATTTATTTAAAAAATGGAGTGCACTAGACATAATTAGGGCCACTTTAACTCTGAATGAGAGGGCAGAAGGCACCTGACTGCCAGCATCTGTGTGTGAGAAATTTGCTCCATCTCCTTTTAGAGCTAGTGGAGGTTTAGTCAGTGGAGTCCACGGAGTGCAATTTTTATTCATTCTAGAGCTGCTGCCTAAAATAGGTCTCAGAGCTGTGCCCTAAAAATGCTTCTGCTTATCTGCTGTTGCCTGCACTGTCAACATTCTGAATCAGAAGAGCTGAATCCGGGTGGAATAGTCTCCAGGAGGCTCCACTGATCTATTTCTACCACGAAGGCAGCCCAATTTCTGTGAATGCTTTCCTAAAAATGCACCTTCCATCACCCGACCCAGGTCTGCAGATAAATGTGTCCCAAGCAGTATCAGTCATTTCCACATCATTCCCCTCCTGCCCTTTCCTTGTTGGCTTTAAAATACAGTTCCAGGTGAGTGGAGTTGTGTGCAGACACAACTTGGGGATGAAATAAATCCCATCCTGGACCCAGTGGACTTTTCTGAGTAGATCCACAGCTCAGATGCAGATGGATTTAGTGGCACTAATCCCACCACTGGCTGTTACCTTTTTCAGAAGGACGTGGTTGGGTTTGTTTCTGGTGGTGCCAGGTGCTCTCTGAAGATGCTCCACCATCCTGGAGGATGGTGGAGCATCTTCAGAGAGCAACTGGCACCTCCAGGATGGTGGAGAGCACTGGAGGCCTGATGGATCTGTGGGTTTGGCAGCATTCCCTTGGAGCAGAGAGGAGTAGGAGCAGTAGGAGAAATTCAGATCACCATCCTCTCCCACATTCACCCTACAGAACATCTTCCAGCCTATCCCATTTCCAAAAAAAAAGGGCTCTCAGGGTTGTGTCTGGGTCAACTGGTGCCTGCCAGTGCTCAGAGCCTCTGCAAAGCAAGTGTTTGGCCATTCACAGTTCGTGCACACAAGGTTTAGTCCTAATAATCCAGCCCAGATATCCTTAGATTTTAGGGAATCCTGAGAGGTTACATATCATGCTTGCTTGCTGTGCTTCAAGTTTTAAGTCTGGTTTTATTTCTTTTTTTTTTAGGTGCTGGGAGGAAATAGTGGAATCCCCATTCTGGTGGATCATTAAAACTCCTATTTTGGTGTCTATTTTGGTAAAGTATCAGCACATTCTGCTGGCTGCAAAGCCACCTTTAGTCCCAAGTGGTGGTGGGGGGTGAAGGGGTGTCGAGAAGTGTCCTGTAAATGCCCATGGGAGATTCACTGGCAGGTCAAATCCCACTGCACATTGCACATCTGTCCTAGGACAAGGGAAAAACTCTCCAGACAAACACATTTACCTTTAGCATTGACCATGGAATGGCCCATTTGATGTGCCTCTGACCACTCCATCTCCTACCTGCCCTGGGCACTCTGGCTGTGCAGCCAGAGGAGGTTGAGGAACGTGGTTGGAGCTCCAGGAAAGGCTCATTTTGCCTCATGGGTCAGTGGGTGTGTGAATTCAGCCTGGTGAATTGTGCTGTGAGAGGGGTTTTGTGTTCTCTGAGCTGACCAGGAGGACTCGTCTAGTTGTCGATGTCAACACCACGAAGTGAAATGAGATGAGATGAGTCCCACCATAAATTTCTAGATAAAAAAAGGGGTTTAATCAATTCCCCTGGGGGTATTTGCCTCTTTTTATAGCCCCCAGGGCAAAGCTGGATCCCAGCTGTGTGTTTTTAAAGCCAGTTCTCAAGAGGCTGGGTTGATTTCCAGAAGGGTCTGACTTTCATTCTCTGGATGTGATCAGTTCTGACCACAGAAACCAGGACACTTCTGAGGAGCTCAGTCCTCCCATCCTTGTTGAGCATTATGTGTTTCCCCTGTCAGGTACCAGGCCAAGCCTTAAAATCAAATGAACTTGAGTTAAATTGAGCTCTGAGTTTTCTTAAATGAAGGCAAAAATGTGTGAAGGGAATAAATTAAAAAAAAAGAAGCAATAATCTTTCCTTAGAACATTTATTCTTCTTATTCCACGTGCATCATGACCTTTACAAGAAGATTTTGGCTTTTTTTTTCTGTAGCATTTGTCGTACAGGGATTCAAAACTGCGACAATTTGAATAATGACATTTTACTCTGTTTACCTCGCTGAAAAGAAATACAGTGCTTGGATGACACATCTCAAAATATTTATGTCATCACAGCAAGCTATAGATAGTACTTTCCCTTTCCTGAGATAAGCCTTCAGTCAAAAAATACACCCTATTATTCTCTTTGGATCAGTGAGCCCGTATTTGCTTTTGGCCAGTAAATCATTTCCTCCTTGCCAAACAGAAAGTTTACCCAGCAGTTCCTGATTTTCCTGCTGCAGATATCCCATAAATCTGTCCCAGAGGAAGGGCATGATAACCACCAGCTGATGAACAGCAGGTTTCTCTGGGGACTAATGCAACATTTGCTCCATATCCGTGGGAATAAAATGTGTGGCTCCACGTAAGGAAGAAATGCATATCCAAGATATACAAGATCTTTAAGATACATAAGATACACCTTATAAACAAGGTATTAAGCACTGAGAACACATCAAGTGCCTCTGATTAAGTTGAAAAATAAATTAAAATACTTCTCCAGCATCCTGACATCCACATGTTCTCCCGTGGAATGCTAAGGTTGTATTTCCCACTCCACCTGATTAACCACTGCCCATGGTTGCTCTTGACCCCTCCAAGCCAGCACAGTCAGCATTTAATGCTCCATTCTTACCTTCAGTGCTGCAGCCATCAATGCTCATTAGGGTAATTGATCTAGATAACAATGTTTTGAACTCATAAATTTTACTTGCCACCAAGTCAGACACAAAGCATTTCCACGAGCAAATAAATACCAGCAGAAAACGAAGACAAATGGCTCGGGATAGATAAAAAGTGATTAAGCCATGCATCCAAGAAATACCATTAATTTCCAATTACTCATAGCCTTTGAAAAAAACAGTGAGTGTCTAATTGAGAGATGTGCTTCAGTCTATTTTATTCACATTGTTGTTGAGATAAATGTAAGAATTGCTGGAGGAAATGTTACAATCTGGTTTTGCAGGAAATCAGATTGGCTGGTTAACACAATCCCTTTCCAGCTGCTGAGCCTCTGAAAATCAGAGTCATTTGTGCATTCACTAACCATGAAAGGAAAAAGAAAGGGGCTGTGGCCAAACAAAAACTAAACTAAGTCCTCAGAAATCTGTTGCTGCTTTTCTATTTTCTGAGTTGCATGAATAACAGGATGATTTAATGGATGAGACCTCACAGGCAAATAGAGTTGCATTCAGTCCATGCCATCTACTACATTCCATTGGGAAAATCCCATTCCTGGCTCTACACCTTTGCTAATAAAGGGAGGTTAACATTACTTGAGTGTGTTGGTGGAGCACTTTGAGATCTTTTGGGTGAAAAGAACCCTCTAAAATCCCGGTGTCAGATCCCAGTCTAACATCTCAGGTGTGAATGTTTTCTCACTGTGTCCATGAGGTCTGTCCCATGCTATGCAAGTTCTCCAGCCTCTTCCAGGGGAAAACATGGCCCACAGCACTGAGTAGAGTGGGGTGGGTACTGCTCTGTGTTTTGTTTTGGTCTCCTTGGCTCGCTCTCTGACGTGCTCAGCAGTCTCCCGAGGGCTTTGACATCCGTCGCTCGGCTCATTCCCAAGGCTCTTTTCCCAGCCCGGCGCCGGCAGGACGTCGTGCATAGCTGTGCTCTATGGGCTTGACATCATCATACTTGGGATGTATGACACGAAGTCCCAAGCAGGCTGATGTCAGGCCCAAGATGCCATCCTGTGTCCGTTTACTTTGGGCGCTCTGCTCATGGCTGCTTAACCACAGCTTGTTCCATGGCAAAAACGCGGCAGTGGAAGGAATTCCCCTCTGATGATGGGCTCTGCTCACCAGGGAAACATAACTAATGTTTTGCCTCTCTCTCTTTCTCTGTCTGTGTTCCCTTTCCTCCCATCCTGGCAGGTGAACTTCATCCTCTTCATCTGCATCATCCGCATCCTGGTGCAGAAGTTGCATTCCCCGGACGTCGGGCACAACGAAACCAGCCAATATTCGTGAGTCCTGGGCTCCTCCTACCATGTCCTTCGTGGTTTTTGGGAAACCTGTTTCACTGTTAGGTCATTATTGCATCATGATTCACTATTGCTTCACTATTGTGTCTGCCTGCACTGATCAGAATCAATTAATTGTTAATTGATTCGAGCTGATCAGAAAGCAGGAAACGGAGCGTTTTCTAAAACAGCTGGACGGGTTTGATGTCAGTTTGAGGCAGGTGAGAAGGCCTTCTCCTGGGATTAACAATGAAGAAGTGAGAGCAACTATAATGATCAAGAGGCAGAAAAAGTTCTTTCTTTGCATCTTTAATATTTCATGGATTCTGAAGGCAGAGGAACCCAAAGAGTTGCTGTACTCAGCGTATGGGTTGTTTTTTTTTTTCCCCTGACTCTCAGATCCCTTTCTCAAAGAAGGAGAGGTCTAGAAAATTAGTCCATTCCATAGAATCTGTGGCAGATTTTCCTTATCCCAAAGCAGACCTCTAAACTAGATGGGATTATTTCAATGCATTTCTCTTCAGTGTTGAGAAGGATCACTGTCTCAGAAGATTGGCTTGACTTAATGCTTTTATTCCAGGGATATAACGTTGACCTTAATGGGGATTTTTATCATGAACAACATGCCAGTGAGATCAACATCTGTCTCAGTGGCCAAGGCTGGTCTTAGTTGTAGAATTATAAGAGTGAAAAAAAAGTCCATCTGCATGGATTTGTTCTGGCTTCAATGCAAACAAGACAAAAGTTCAGACCAGCTCATTTTTGACTCTTGCCACTGTCCTGGCTCGGCTTTTCAACCATCCTGGATATTTATTAAATGTTTCCTTGAAGAGAACCAAAATGAGAAAGGTCCTGTTTCTACAGTCACTGCTCATAAATCTGCACTTTTGGGTACCCTGAAGAACCTGAGCTCAGTTCAGCTTTCTGCAAGATGGAAAACAATAACAGCCTGTTCCTTAAACGCTGCCCAGCCATGACACTGAACCTGTCTCTAGTGATGGTAAATTATTCATTTCATCTGCCTCGAGAGATTCTCTGATTTATGAAAGAAAAGGCCAGAGTTTGACCTTAACTTCTCCCTGCAGCAGCCAAAGCCAATTACCTCTGGTTTTGTCATCTCAGCACTCCAATATTACCAACCCTGGGCCTTTTATCCCCCTATTTTTCTGTATTTCCAATTTGGATGTTGCACCTTTGCACCCCGGGATTGCGAGGGCCCTGGCCAGCTGTGGAGATTAAATCAGCATATTGAAATATGTTCTGAGCAGCATCCTGGAGCTTTTGGGTTCAGGGCACATTTTCCAGTGAAGGGGGCACTGAAATTTTCCCGGGAAAGCTCCTTTTGCCTCGTAAACAAACGTGGCACAGCAGTAAAGCACAGGCTTCCCCTCACCCACCTGCCCAACAAGAGGTGCTGCTGAGGTACAGCTGAGCTTCCCATCTGCAGTCCCTCACCTCCCTTCCCCTCCTCAGTTCCATCAGGGAATGGCATCAGTTGCTCACTTCACAGAACCGCAGAATCCCAGAGTGGTTTGGCTTGGAAGGGGCCTTCAAGCTCATCCAGTTCCACTCCCCTGCCGTGGGCAGGGATACCTTCCACTGGATCAGGTTACTCAGAGCTCCATCCAACCCAACCTTAAACTTTTATGTGTCCAAGATATGTGAGATGCTTCAGGACATTTTCAGGTCCTTTCTTGGACCTGGCACGTAGGACCCAGGACCTGTGGGAGGTTTTTACCCTTCTACGGTGGCATCTGGCCACCAGCCACGTTCTCTGGGACATCTGGAAGTCTCTGTTGACTGAACTGAGAGCAGCAGGACATGAGGCACCACACTTTCCTGTGGGAGGAAGTATTAAGTGTCTCAAGCTGAAGGCTGGAACCCAGCAAGGGGAGTTCTCAGTGTGGTCCTAAGTTGTCAGTGTTTGGACAGCAATCTGTGGAGACTTCTAGGGCTCCAGAGCCTGGAGTTCTACCTGCAGGACCCAAAACTGCTGCTAATGAAATATTGAGGGAGCGGGGGGGGCTCAGCCTGGAGAAAAGGAGGCTCAGGGGGGACCTTCTGGCTCTGCAACTCCCTGACAGGAGGGGGAACCAGGGGATGGTCGGGCTCTGCTCCCAGGGAACAGGGACAGGACAGGAGGGAACACTTCCAGCTGTGCCAGGGGAGGGGTAGGTTGGACATCAGCAGGAATTTCTTCACTGAAGGGGTGGTCAGGCCTTGGCAGGGGCTGCCCAGGGAGATTTGGAGTCCCCACCCCTGGAGGTGTCCCAGGAAGGCCTGGATGTGGCACTCAGTGCTCTGGGCTGGGGGACAAGGTGGGGATGGGGCACAGGGTGGACTCTGTGACCTTAGAGGGCTTTTCCAACCTCAGTGATTCTGGGATTCTGTTTGGGTTCCTCCTGCCAAGTCTGATATAAATCTATTTTGAACTAACAACATCCTGGATATCCCATTTGCATTCTCCCCCCTTCTGTTGTTTATTTTATATTGTTTATTTTCTAAAAGCGCCCTGACATGTTGACAGCATTGTTCAAATTCCAAGGAGTTTCAGTGTAGCTGCAGGCTGGAAGTTCAGGTGCACTGCTGACTCACTTATTAACTCTCCAGACAGGGAGCTGGGCTTTCATGTATTGGAAACTGTGAAAACAAGACTCCCAAAAGAGTTTTCTGGAACTGGCAGAGACACGTGCAATAGTGGGACAGCAAAATTTCATGCAAAGAGATTTTGTTTTCTACAACAGGAAACTTGAGTAAAATTCACCTCTTTCCATTCTCTAGATCAGTGTAGTCATCAAAGTTTTCTGGGTAGCTTTTCCATGATAATTTCAAGGAGCATGACTAAAATGTCCTGGGACCTGCAGGCTGATGGACACGTGTTTTCCCTAAATTACCTGTCACCGTGTACATCTGTCAGAGAGGGAGGGTCTAAGATGTTCTGGGAATGAGATTTATGAGTTTTTTGCGAATCCATGGCTTCCAGCAGGAAGATTTAACCAGCTGGAATTTCTGCCTCCTGCACTTCCAGGCTTTATCTTCCTGGGAGAAATTACACCCTGAGTGGGGAGGATGATTTTCCTCTTTGCAGTCTTTGGTGGGGGGAATCTTTTAAATGTCACAGTGCTGGACCACAGAGCCCTGATGCCAAACTGAGATCTGAAACGTCCCTCAGTGTCTGGGGAAGGAAGAGCCTGGTCTGAGGGGTTGTGCAAATCAGGGGAAGGGCCTCAAGTTTTGGTATTTATGTCCTTTTGGTTGCCTCAGTGCATCCAGGAGGAGAAATGTAACTGAGGCCCCAGTGTTGTCTGCAAAGATAAGATCAATTTTTCTAATCCTCTGGAGGTTGAAAACAGCATCCCTATCAGTATGGTACACAAAGGTAGGGTCTCATCATCTGCTCCAGGCTGACTGTTCCTCAGAGGTCGGGGAGAGAGGAGAAAAATCCAACACAAATATTCACTGAGCTGTGATCTGCTTAGAAAATGAGTTGCTTTCTCCTGTATCTGGAGCTGGGGGCATTAGGGCTTGATCATACTGGCCAGAGCTGCTGCTGAGAGGGAGGAACATGGAACACTGATGGTCACCAAAGGCAGTGACAGTGCCCTGGCAGAGCAAGACATCCAGGAGAACTCAGATTTTGGATCTACTCACCGTGAGCAGGGATGTGCCTGCTGGGGAGGGATGAGGGAAAGGCAAATTCCTGTCCTCTCAGCTTCCTACAGGCACTGATTTTGCCTGGAATGAGGTGTACCCAGCAGGTATTTCCTGGGGAGCCACAGCCTCCAAAACGAGCCCTAATGCCGAGCTGTCTTCAGGCCAGGCCCAGGGAAAGCTGGAAAGTCTGCTGGGAGCTACAGGGACGGGCATCATCTGCACAAAGCTGGCACATCAGCCCTCCCAGGGGGCTGGTGCAGATGGCCAAGAAATGAAGATGGTCTGAGAGGACTGAGCCTGATGAGGCTTTGGAGGTGAAGGGTTTGCAGGTGGAAGAACAAGCATTTCCAGCATCCTCTCCTTAGCTTCGTTTCCTCCAGGAGCCTCTGAGAGAGACGGAGATGCCACGGGATGTGGGTGACCAAGGGAGCCAAAACCCACACAGGCACCCTTAGACTCCTGATTTCATTTTATTTCTGTCAGCTATTTTTTTAATAATGATTAGATTTAATAAATTATCATCTCCTCCTAATTAGGCCTCTGATTACCCAGGCTGATGCCATCAAGCACTAATACTGTTCATCCCCCTCCTTTGGAGACATTCATTGTGCAGTAGCCTGTCATTATTCCCAGCTAAACATACCATTTCTCTCCCAGAAGCTGTAATTTTCAGCAATCTCCCAAGCAAACAAAGACAGTGCTAGATGATGATTTAGCTGGTAGAGATGAGGAAAAAAAAAAAAAAAAAAGATCTCTGGTGGGAGGGGAAGAAGGGAGAAGGGAGGAAGAAATACCTCCAGTGGAGCTGCTAGGAATAAAGATGTCTCATTTTATGGTGTCACCACGTCTGAAATCACCAGCTGCCTGCAGTCTGAGGAACAAGGAGAAATAATGTGGGGCTGATTGCTCTGCCTGAGCTGGAGCCATGGATGTAATTATATGAGAGCTGTTAACGAGCAGGAAATGCTCCCAGCACGGTCCCTGCTTAGTCTGAAGTGCCACACAGTGCCTGTTCCCAGCTGAGCTTCCACCCCCACCTGTCACTGCATCCCAGCCCAGGTGGGCAGAGGGATCCTGGCGAGGCTGAGCTGGGAGTGGCATCTCCACCCCCCCTGTTTTGCTGTACCCCAGGCACTCCACCCCCCTGGGGTGAGGGCAACCTCCTGATGCTCCCTTGCTCAAGGCTGGATGTTCCCAGGACCTCGGGGTGAGTGTCCTGAGGACAAACAAAGTCACTTCACATGTAGATCCATCACCACAATCCAGGCAATCAGCAAAAAGGTGCTGCAGCAAATTCAATGTCCAGGGTTGCACAGGGCTCGGGGCTGTAGGATTTCTCATCCTCTTACCCTTCAGCTCCTCTTCCCTCTCCCCTCCTGACTCATGTTTGTCTTTCCCACAGGAGGCTGGCCAAGTCCACCTTGCTGCTGATCCCTCTCTTTGGCATTCACTACATCATGTTTGCTTTCTTCCCTGACAATTTCAAAGCAGAAGTGAAGCTGGTCTTTGAGCTCGTGGTTGGGTCCTTCCAGGTAAGCCACCCCTTTGGGGCCACCACTCAGCCACTGGGTCTGGCAGGAGGGAGAAGTGTGATGACAATAAGCAAAAGTGAGCTGCTCTTTCCTGGCCATGCCTAAATGCAGCTCTTGTACCTTTGGGGAAAAAGCTCCTCACTCCAGCATGGCCAGGATGGGAGATAAACTTACATTTTGCCTCCTGGAATTCCAAGAGGAGATTCTCCCTCCTTGTTTCAGGCACCTGAAAAGAAAATGGACATCTGTACATTTAGTCACCCTGGGGTTTATGTGCTTAAGGGAAAAAAAAAATGAGCATCACAGGTCAGTTTATATAATATTGACATATTATATGTCAGTATAAGTGGTTGGAGGGGACTTGGAGCACCCTGCTCTAGTGGAAGGTTGTCCCTGTCCATCTCATGGGGTTAGGAACTAGATGACTTTTAAGGTCCCTTCCAACCCAAACCATTCTACAATTCCACGTTAGTCCTGCTGAAGTTTGGTTCTCAGACCCTCCCACACACCTCAGTCAGTGTTGGGCCGCTAAACTTGACCCTGAGGCTGCACGAAAAGAAGCCCTTATTTAAGTGTTTCCTCCCATTGCTTCTGTCCATTATCAGTTCCAGCCACGTCCTCACAGCCTGGGAGCAGGGTCTGGCTGTCCCCATGTCCCCATGCACGTGTCAGTGGCAAGTTTTATTCAGTGGTGAATGAGTTAATGTCCCTCTCTATAACATCACCACTTCACATCTGGCAGGTGGAAGTGCTCAAAAACCACCTGGATGTGGCACCTGGGGACATGGGTTAGTGGTGAAGATGGCAGTGTTGGACATGATGATCTTAGAGGTCTTTTCCAGCCTTGACAATCCCACGATTCCATGATCCCTCCTTGGAGATCGCTGTGTTTAGTGCTAAAAGCCTGTTCTCTCCTCTTCCCCAGGGATTCGTGGTGGCCGTTCTGTACTGTTTTCTCAACGGAGAGGTAAGAGCAGCAGTGTTGTTTGGCTCATGTTTGCCAGCTAGGTGGACTGAGTGTCCCATTCCTGATGTCACCACGCCGGTGGGAAGCACCCAAGGCAGATCTCTCACTCCAGAAAAACAGTTCAGCCGCTTCCCTGACAGTTTTCAGCACAATTAATAAACGTGGCAGGGCTTTTGTGTGCATTGCTGCCAAATCCACCCTTTAGCCACGAGACAGCATCAGCAGAACCTTCCCCAAACCCTGATCCCAAAGGCCCACCTCCAGCAGGGAAGGATAAAGCCCACCTAAGCCTTGCTAAGTGCCTCAGTGAATCCTCCACAGGGCCAGGCCCGCTGCTGGGATGGAGCTCATTAGTGCAGTGATATTTCTGTGTCATCCTCCACCTGCCCGTGAATTCAGCTGATTAAGCCCGTGTTGCAAAGGCTCCCAAGCAGATGTGAGCAGATAGAGGCTCAGAGCTGCTGTCATCTGATGCCCTTCCAGCCCCATAAACAGAGCAGGGACGGAAAGAAGCAGCTGTGAGCTGGGTTTGTGCTGCAGCTTCCCAGGGAGAGGAAGAGCATCCAGAATCCCAATTTTCTCTCCAAAGCTGCATCAGCCACGCTGATGCCATGTGTACATCAGGCAGAGAGCCCAGCTCCAGCAGAGACCTCTCCCAGTAATCCTGCCTGGAACAGGGCAGTACCACACAAACTCACTGGTGATCCAAAGCCAACAGAGGCATTGACATGACTTGTTAGGCTCAGGGCAGTGCCAGGTAAACGTGTTTCTACCTTGCAGGCACTGAGCTTGCCTTTCCCACGTTTCAAGTCCTGGGATTCTCATCCTGGTATTGTTCTGTTCCTGTGCTTGTTCATCCCAGAGCCTCTCAGACATGGCTGTTTTATCTAATTCATACTGTTACCTAAATTTTGGGCTAGAAGGCTGCAGGAGGGGCTGGGGATAGAGGCCAGACTTGTTCAGGATTTGAGTGAGGACAGTGTAAACCAGATCCCTTCTGTGAACTCCCTGAGCAGCAACAAGTAGCTTCCATCAAAAAAGCCCAGCTTTACAAACAAGCTGTAGTGAAATCATCTCTATTTGGACCAAAAACAGGTCAGTGGAAAAAAAAAAATCTTAATTATTAAGAATAATGAATCACTCACAAAGTGTAGAGTATGTTGAAGCTGGAGTTAAATATTCTGGCACCTTCGCTGCGTGAATAAGAAATTCCCTGTGCTCACCTTTCTGCTGGAGTTCAGGGATTTCTGCTGTCTGGGATGACCCCTCTCTTCTATGTGGCTAAAAGTCCAGGCCAGGCTGAGTTTAGTGACCTTTATAAAATAATTCTTGGCCCCTTGGTGGGTGGGTCACCCACAGCTGCTCAAACAGCGAAATCAGAGCAACAGCGAGTGATTTTCCCGTCTCTCCAACGCCCAGGTCCAAGCTGAGCTCAAAAGGAAGTGGCGGAGGTGGCACCTGGAGAGGTTCCTGGGCTCGGACATGAAGTACCACCACCCTTCCTTGGGCAGCAACGGCACCAACTTCAGCACCCAGATCTCCATGCTGACCAAGTGCTCGCCAAAGACTCGCCGCTGCTCCAGCTTCCAGGCCGAATTCTCCCTGGTGTGACAGGGAGGGGGCTCTCCCAAGCAGGGAGCAATCCAACAGAGACACCGAGAGACTGAGGGACCCCAGGGGGGACCAGCGGTGACAAAAATCCCTGTGAAGTGACACGCTCCACGTGAGCCAGCAGAGGACACGCAACTGGAAAAGCCGCCGGCATCCAGGACGGGACCGGACGAGCCGAGAGGCAGAGAAAAGCTTTTCCTCTGCCTCTTTTCAGGCCTTTCACTCCTCAGTTTTGAGCCCTTGAGGGGGTTGATAACTCTGAGTAAAGGTCCCAGTCGCTTGAGGAAAGCCTGGGAGATCCTGGTGTGTGGTAAATGATGAAGTACAGGGGAGGAAGGGAGGGGAGAGCCCGAGAGTCCTTGGGGGCTTTACCGGAACCGGCATCTCTGAAACAGATAAATTGCACTTTTTCTTTTTTTTTTTTTTAAATGAGCCAGTAAAGGAGAGAGGGAGGCAAGAAGCAGAAAAAAAAAAAAAAAAAAAAAAAAGCCAAACGTATGAATGTGCCAAAATTCCTGTGGATAAGAGGTGATGACGAGGCACCGAAGATGGAGTTGGGGAGAAGGGACAGGAGGAACATGAGCAGGAAAGGAGAGGCCCCTGCGTTTCACACAGGTGAAGATGAAGCTGCAGCGCCAGGAAAGCCTCTCAGAGGATGCCCCAGGGCTGCAGTGTGTTCTGCTAATAACTCCCCATCCTCATTCAGCAAAAGCTTTCCAGGCATCCTTGGCGCCCTCTGGAAAAGCAGGTTGCTGAGAAGGAACAGCGTGAGAATTCCCTTCTCTGCACCGTGTTCAGGACGTGCTGTTTGTTTTGGTTGTGTTCAATGACCAGGAAACTCGGTTTGCATGTATAAAAACCAGGTACAGGTGCCAAAAGCAGAGCATGGCTGTGTTTTTCCTTCGAGTTCTCCCGTAGATCTTGGTGCCTTAAAGCACCGGGACCGTGAGGGATCGGGGGGAAAATAATTGGGGTGTAATTCATTTGCACTTGCTTAGCACACACTGCCAGGAAAGGGAGATGCAGAACCCTGTAGTCACTAATTGAATCAGCCCTGCCATGAGGAGCCACTCTCCAGATGAAAAAAAAAATTAGTGTCACAGCAGTGAGCAAAATTGCTTTCACCAGGACACGGTGGTCTCAGCACAGCACTGGCACTCCAGGAGAGAGGAAGGACTGAAGAGGCTATTAAATTGATTTCTTCTCCAGCTTTTGTGGGCAGCTTTCATCCTCTGAGGAAGGCACTGTTAGATCTTTTTGAGATGTGTGTGTGTGCATTTTGCCTGTTTTTTTGAAGGCCTGTTAGTTTTCATCTAGGGACAGTCCCTATCTGAGGAATGCACATGGATCCCATTAAAACCAAGGGAATAGTCTTTTTCTTTTTTTCTTCTTTTTATTGGTGAAGGGGCAAAGGAGAGGTGTGAAACCCAGTCCTGCTACAAGCACTGCATTTGAGACAACCCCCACAATCCCAAACTCAGTCTGAAGACAGAAAACGAAAAGGACACAGACATTTGTGTCCCACCTGACTGCAAAATCAAATGGGGTTGCACCAGTTTTCCACTGAGGGGAATAAGAACCCTGTGAAGGGCAGATGTACAGCCCTGAGTTTCCAGTGAGCTCAGATCTCGGCACAGTGTGGCTGTGGCCACCCAGCCTGCAAAACCTCTGAGGATAAGCAGATGTCGTGAAGATCCCTGGAGTTCAAGTGCTGGTGACCCCAGGCCAGCCAGCTGTGAGCCAGCTCTGCTGTGGCCACGTTGTTGAGGCCATGCCAGCAGTGAGAACCCAGCACTGACATGCCATGAGACCATCAGGATGCTCTCTGAGCAGCTCTCTGATTCCCAAATGCAGGGAAAGCAAGAGGATGCTTAAAATTTCCTGCCCTTTCTTGCGCTGAAGCCCTTCTGCCCTGACAGCCTTGGAAACAAGATCCCACTGAAACCCTCCTGAGGTTCTCAGAGGCCAGGACACTTTTATTTTAGTGGTCACAGTCCCAAACCTGCCAGAGCTCGAGGAGTGTTTGGACAACGCTCCCAGGCACATGGGAGGTTGATTTTTGGGGTTGTCCTGTGCAGGGCCAGGAGTTGGTCTCAATGATCCTTGTGGGTCCCTTCCAGCTCAGGATATTCTGTGATTCTCCATTTGTTTGGTGTTTGTGTGGCTCTGGAGAGCCCTTTCAGACCTGCAGTAGGACTCTCAAAGGAAACACTGGAGAAATCCCACCAGCACCACCAGTTCTTCTCCTGTGCCTGGCCCGAAGCAAGGCTTTGACCCAGCTCTGCATTTTGCCAGGTGAATGTCCAGATGCAGGGAAGCCCAGAAGAAGCAAGGGAAAGCTCTCCTCTCAGCTCCCAAGTCGTTCCACTTGGTACAAAATGCTTTATCTCACTGGTTCAGAGTTTTGAAGCAGTGTCAGTCAGGGAAAGATTTGATTCACCAGGCTGCAGAGTCATTCACCCTCCTAATCTGTTAGGGGAAACGTGTATGCCCAGGAAATTGGATGGGCTGCAGAGGAGCACTGCCCAAATCTTGTGGACGCATCCACTGAGGTGCCTGAGGTGTGAACTGGAATCCCAGGTCCCAGCCAAGCAAAAGAGGAGCTCAGGCACAGAGCTGTCAAGCAGAAGTGATGCACCATTGCCAGCAGGCTCCTTTGTGGGACGGGAGGGAATCCCTGCCCATCTGTTCCAGGCAGCCTCACTGGGATGGCAGGTCTGTGAGCCATCAGCAGTGAGACACATGGTGCATTTTCCCTCTGCTCACCTGCCTTTTTTCCTCTCCCTGTGCTTGTCACTCCACTTGCAGGGGGACTTTCTGCTCTGTGTTTTCAGCTTGGTCTCTGTTTCATCCCTGTGCCAGCATCAACCGGATGCCAAAGGCACTGGGAACACGTTTGCCTTTTGGAGGCGTGACAGGCAAAAATCCAGCTGGCTATTTACCCGTTCCACAGGGAATGTGGGAGATTCACCACCAGCCTGTTCTGCACAGGAGCCTGAAGAGAGGCTGCTCCCTGAACTGAGGGGCTCCTTCAAAACCTGTGGACAGCATCAGTGTGCCAGAACAGTGCCCCAGGCATCCTGCTGGCGATTATTCCAGCACTGAACATCCAGCCACGTTGCCATTACGCTGTCAAGGGGATTTGAGAGATTAAATGAACGTGCTGAATGTACCTGCTGTGACAGGCATGGCAATGTTAGTGACACAGGCAGGGCAGAGCTGCCAGCACAGCTGCCTGGGCCTTGGATTTCGGACAAACACGGGAGTTTCAGTGCTGAAATCAGAGCTTTTCACTCTGGGGGCGTGAGCAATCCAGTGAATGATGACATTGGGATCAGGCCCTCTTTTGACTGGCTTGGTGCAGGAATTTGGCTCCATACCTTGGCATCCTCTACTCTTGTTTTTCATCCAACTCATCAATAAAATGGGAGCCCAAGGACTTCACTACAAATGACAACCTGAGGTGAGCTGTCCTGCTCCCAAACAGAGCACACAAAGCAAGCCCCAGTCTGACCCCCTCAACTCCAATGTAACACAGGAGGGACTCCAGAAAAGCAATTGCATTAATTTGCTGCAAAATAATATTGATATTCACACCTGCATACGGGACAGAGATGTTTGGGGATCATGAATTTGGACTCCAAAACTCTTTACAGAAATTAAGGCAAATTCTGGTCCCACACGCCCCAATCGCTTCACTGCAGCGACTCCTGAATTACACTTTAAAATAATTTTTTTATCTTCAGTCTGGAACTTTTTCTTCCCTTTTCACACCAGTGAGAGAGCAAGCCCCTCCTGTTAATTAGTCACTCTGCATTTCAGTGATTAAATGATTAAACATTATGAATAAGTGTGCAATAATTGCAATACAAACATTAAATTATGGTGTCGAGGAGTAGAGGTACAAGCTTCAACACTAAGATTAGACTGTAGATATTTCTGTTCAGCTGGGACCTAAAGATATTTCTATTCAGCTGGGACCTGTCTTGCTCTGTGACCTCATAAGCAGCAAGAAATGAGAATATGACCGTGTGTGGGGTTAAAAAGAAAGAAGAGTAAAGAAATTCTAGGCTATTGCAAAATTTCAGGGCATTAACTTGAAACTTTTTAAAATCAAAAAGGCTAGGAGATGAAACACTTGAATATTTTAGTTTAATTTAGTTTAGTTTAGTTAATTTGGGTTGTTTTATTTTTTGGGTTTTTTTTGCCTAGAAAGCAGTTATATTTTTCTTAAGGAAGATGTTGCTGGAGAAAAGCTGTTTTGTACATTAACACCTACTGATTAATGGAAGTTTTCTAGTGGTTTTTAAAAAGCAAACTGAAGTTCCAAAGAAAGCTCAGGAGTGAGTGAACATCACTTGGCTCCTTGGCAGGGATTAAAGGGGCTTGGTGGGATTATTTTGTCTCCAGTCCTTCCACCTTCACCCCAGTGCTCAAACAAGGGAAACCCCAGTGGGTGTCTGCGGGAAATACGAAATATTTTCAGGCTGAAAGGGAATCTCACCGACTGGGAAACGCCAACAAGTGTCTTTCTGGAGCTTCTTTCATCCTGTCTGCACAAGTTCAGCTCGGTTTGATGAAGTGCCTGTGGAAATACAGGTGGATCAGGAGCAATGCTCCTTCTCTGGAAGGTGTCACATCAAAGCCCATGTAAAACATTCTCCTTCCTTCCCATCAAGTCCCACCTTCTGCTTTCGGGTGGGGTGTTCAGCTGACAGAAGGATCGTGATTGAGGTGCTGACACGGCCCAGCTTCCTTCCCAGCCTCCAGCATCCGTGCAGGGATGAATGTTCCAGACTCTTGGAGCCAGGGGCTGCACTCCTGAGCTCCCTGTGTAACTTGGCACTTTTCCCAGGCAGAGGTGCTGGTGGGCAGGGCCACAAAGCTGCTCGACTGTAGATGACCCTCAGAAGTGTAGGAGGTTCAAGCTCTTGGCCTCACATGTACCCATATCAAGCCAGAGTGGCTCTGCTGGCATCATCCAGGAACTAAACTGAGAAGCAGCAAGGGAAACAATTAATTCCCAGGATGGTACGTGGGGTCAGAGGTGCCAAAATCCACCGTTTTGTTCCAGCCGGTCGACTTTTCATCCCATCTCCACACCCAGTATTTACACAGCAGTCTGATGAGGTAGAATTACAGTGAGTGACCTTGTTATTTCCCCTGGAGAGCTGTGCAGCTGTAAACCATGGCTTGTAGGAATTAGGAGCTTCCTGGGACCACGGACCACCTCTTCCACCTGCTGCTGAATGTCCTGACTCCTTGTTTGCTTTCGTGGTGTTGTGTGCTCTTCACTGCAGAGCCCTGGGCTTGAACCCCTGGTTATTTCTGGAACACTGTGAAGTCAACAGGGAAGAAGACAAACATTGGGACTGGAGACCAGGTTAGCAGGTCTGCAGGGAAAATAATGCCCATTTTGGGGTCTGAGCTTCAGGACACGCACACTTGGCATCAGCAGAGCCCTGGGGGATTTTATACCCCAGCTTTGTGGATATTGTACATTTGTACATAGGGGGAAACCTGAGCAGCACATTTAAAAAAAAAAACTAAATTAAAAAAAAAAAACAACACACTAAATAAATGATACTTTTGATACTTGGGTGACGATGATAAATTAAGTTCCAAAAGGCACTTTTGAGTTCAGAAGTGCACTTTCCGGACTCTGCCTCGGACACCTCGAGCTGTTGGTCGGTGGCTGGTGCCAGCTGACTCCTCTCACTCGAGCTGTCAGCACCTCTGCTCTGCCCTCCTGTAAATAGGCTTTGACAGCAGAGAGTGATGGGAACTGGCTGTGAACAGAGACTCACCCTCTCTGTGGACTTTTCCTGTACCTTGGTGCTTGTGACGTTTCCTTCATGCCAGTGAGAACAGGCCTGCTTGCTCAGCACAGGTGACACCTCTGCCTTGTTTCATGGCCTTTTGCCTGATGTTATTTATTTTGTTCTGACTCTGTAAATATGCAATGAATTGGCAATTTTTTTTTAATTTTTCTCTTTTTTTTTTTTTGCCTTTGTATTTGGTTCATCTCCTTGCTCCGGAGGAGGTTCCTCTCTGTGGTTGACACTGCTGACAACGAGCAATAAAACCATTGTGAAGGCATCATGTCTAAGATGTTCCAGCCCATATTTTAATTTATTTCTCAGAGTCCTGAAAAAGATAGAGGAGGAAAGGCTAAAAAAGGAGGGAGTGAGCTGGTGAGGTGGTTGCCCAGAGTTAGGCAGAGTGACCTCATACTCTGTATGCTTAACCAGACCAAATCACTCTTAAAATCATAGAAATGTTTGGGTTGGAAGGGATATTTAAAGGAATAATGGGAGGGATCTCAGGGTGCTGAGGAGACCTTCTCTGGGAACACCTGTGCCAGCAGAAGAACCAGTCCCAGCCCCAGCATGAGTGATCCCCAAAACCCCCACACCGAAGGCACCACCACTGCATGAGCTGGATGGGTGGATGGGTTGCTGGAGGTGAGACTCGTGCCTGGAGGTGATGGTCCTGCAGTTACAAACACATCAGCAGGTCCAGAATGATTCCTGTATTTGTAGGTACCTGCACCCACCCACACAAATAGAACACTGTTGGGTTGGGTGCTGGAATATCCTGCAGCTGTCTCTGGTCCCTGGGCCATTCAAATTCATCCCCACGAGATTTTCTCCAGTTTGGTGGAAGGACAGACCAAATCCAGAGCGTGTGTTTTACATCCTACAAGGGCCATCCAGTCCAACCCTCAGCCCTGCACAGGCCCATCCCCAAGAGTCCCCCCTGTGCCCCAGAGGATCATCCAAACCCTCCTGGAGCTCTGGCAGCCTTGGGGCTGTGCCCACTGCCCTGGGGAGCCTGTTCAGTGCCAACCACCCTCTGGGGGAAGAACCTTTCCCTGAGATCCACCCTGAGCCTGCCCTGACACAGCTCCAGCCATTCCCTGGGGTGCTGTCACACCCAGTCACCCAGGCCATGTGGTAGGAGAACTTCTGAGCAGCTTTTCAAGGGCAGACACGACGGGGCCATTTCACCTGCACAGACCCCACACCAGTGAGAGACCCAAATGCTTAACCCGAGAGGTGGCAAACAGAGCTGCCATCCAGTGCTCTCTGCAGCACTTGGTATAAATAATGACTAAGGGCAATCTTACGATGCGATTTCCAGCTCAGGATGGTGGTTTGAGTTGGGCTTGTCCTTGTACATGCATTTACAAACACAGGATGTCGGCCTGTAGCAATTATTATACGAGGAATTGATGACTTCATAGAATCATGGAAGCACAGAAGGGTTGGAAGGATCCTTCCAGGTCACCTTGTTCCAAACCCCTGCCGTGTGGGCAGGGACACCTTCCACTAGCCCAGGTTGCTCCAGCCTGAGCTTGGACACTTCCAGGAATGGGGCAGCCACAGCTTCTCTGGGCAACCTGTGCCAGGGCCTGCCCACCCTCACAGGCAAGAATTCCTTCCAAATATTTAATCCAAACCTGCCCTCTGTCAGTTTAAAGCCATAACTCCTTGTCCTGTCACTCCATGCCCCTGCAGGAGGTCCCTCTCCAGCTCTTTTGCTGGTGCAAAGGGAAGCACAGCAGTCGGGTCTGGGGTTAAAGATCCTGCTCCTTGGAAAGGAAATGGGACTGCTCTTTGAATGTGGACTTTGTCAAAGCCTCCAACTGTCTGCTAGCTGATGCCAAATCATTAACAAGCCATTTAAATTAGCGCTTCTTACAGGTTCAGAATTGCCCAGTAGGGCTGATGATTCTTCACACCCTTCCTTTCCATTTCCAGTGTCCCCTGCATGGTGCCAGTTCTGCAAAGCTGGGCTCTGACTCTGCCTCCTCCACACAGGGTGCATGCCACGCTCTGCTGTGGACACTGCTCATCCCCAGCACCTTTCCCACCCTGCCAGGTGACCAGACACCTCCTGAGCCTTGTGTGGTGACCTCAGCTTTGCAGCTTCCCCCAGCCTTCCCAGGGGTGCTGCGTCTGCCCTGGATCCTGCCTGTGTTCCTGACATCCTTGCTGTGTTCCCGGGACAGTGGCCCTGTCTTTTGAGGTCTTTATTGCTCTGAACAAAGCAGGACCCTTCCTCTGTGTTGGGGAAAAGCCCAGCAGGCAACTACGAGTAAACAGTAATTGTTCCTATAAAAGTCACATTATTTAATGCACATGAATATCAGGCAGTGAAAAATAGATCACAATAAGCTTTTCCATGTCCATGGGGTCACTTCCACAGCTCTCCCCCCTTTTCAAAGCTGATTTACATCCAGTGTTCACACTACTGATAAAGGCCAAAGCTACAATTTGAAAAGGCAAGTCTTGGCTATAAAAATGTCCCTCCTTTCCATGTGGATTAACCATTTTCATTTAAAAGCAGAGGGTCCAGTGCTCTGGGCCGTTCTGAGAAGCAAAGCTGTTCCATCCTGACTTTCACTGGATCCTTCTGTGGGTTAAACCAGAAAGCAGAACAAAACGGGTTAGAAGGGCTGGGGAAAGGGGGGAAACAGCTAATTCCATTTATCCTGTGTCTGTAGAGGTTGAGGATAATCCCATTCTGCCAAAAGATGTCTCTTCCATATGAGGAACTCCAAGCATTGCCCAGAAATTATTGTTGGTGGGCTTGGTGAAAGTCACCTGAGAAGCCTGAGGTCAAAATCAACCCCACCACCTTCGGTCCCAGCTGTGTGTCCTCTGTGTAGGAGCCATCCCTCCTGATGAGGGAATCAGGAATCATCAGGATTCCGCAGGTGAGCAGAGCACTGCTTTTCTTGGACACACCCCATGACTCTGGATTTGATAGATGGTGTTACCACGTACACCTGGACATTTTTTGAGCCTGAATTTTGGGGCTTCTTCCTGTAAGTTCAGTTTCATGACTGCAAAAATATCACTCCCCGCAAGACAGAGCCAGGTTTAAGGATGGTCACTGTCATCCTTTTCCTTTGATCCTCCGTGGTTTCCATGGCAAAATGCCAGAGCAAGGACCTCTTGTGATCTCCATGACATTAAAGCAATTTCCCATGGAGTGATTCAATATTAGTGGTTAAATTATCTTCACTCCACGTGCCACCAGTTGCATTCAACTCCCTCCCACTGGGGATATAAAGTTTGAACTGTGACTCGATGCAATCCAGGATCCCAAGGGATTGTGGCACAAAGAGCCTTGACACTGTGTCACTGCTGTAGTGCCACGCTCGCTGAAAGCCTTTGAAAACCTCTTCTGATGCTGACACACGTTCACAGAGAAATCATTCCTACTGCTGTGGCTCCTCATGCATTTAAGGTTTTGTTGGAATACATGAACAGAGCCAGGGAAGTTGAAATGTCATCTCTAAAGAGCCATTTCCCATGTCACAGAGTCACAGAATCCCAGAATCACTGAGGCTGGAAAAGACCTCTGAGATCACTGAGTCCAACCTGTGCCCCATACCCACCTTGTCCCCCCCAGCCCAGAGCACTGAGTGCCACATCCAGGCCTTCCCTGGACACCTCCAGGGGTGGGGACTCCAAACCTCCCTGGGCAGCCCCTGCCCAGGCCTGACCACCCCTTCAGTGAAGAAATTCCTGCTGATGTCCAAGCTGAACCTCCCCTGGCGCAGCTTGAGGCCATCTCCTCTCATCCTATCCTGGTTGCCTGGGAGAAGAGGCTGATCCTCCCCTTGTTACAACCTTCTTTGAGGCAGTTTTATGTCTGTTCTATGCTCAGGACTAAACCATCCTTGCAGTCAAAGACCAGAGAGGCAAGAGCTTTGTGTACATGGCATTAAATCCCTGTTCATGGTGCTCAGTGACAAACCCTCTCCTGGAATCCATCCCTGTCCCATCCCACTACTGACTGAACCCCTCTCCTTGGAAATATTTCCACTCCTCCCAGTGGAGATCAAAGCCTTGAACCCTCATCACACACACCTTGAGAGGGCAGGAAGCGACTTGGCAGGCTGAAACCAGCCAGCATCACTCCTGGCTTTCAGACCAAATTACTCTGCACTGACTGGGACAGAGAAGAAAAAAAGGAGAACATCTGGCTTGTAAACCTGAGGGTTGCTGTGTTTGGGGAACCAAGACCGAGGCACTCTCAAGCCCACTTTGTTGTCCAAACTTTAGGAGGAAATATAAAATCACAGAATGGTTTGGGTCGGAGGAGACTTAAAATATCATCTTGTTCCAACCCCCCCCACTGGACCAGGTTGCTCAGAGTTCATTCCAGCCTGGCCTTGAACACTTCCAAGGATGGGGCAATTAATTCAACTCAAAACTTCGATGTCCTGGTTGGCAAGCAGGGGTCCTGTCGATTGATCTCAGCTCCAAATCGAGGTGTGGGTGGGAGCTGGGAAGGGACTTTTCAAGCCCAGTGATTGCCAGTATTTGATGTGAATCAAACTAGTGTTGAGCCACATCATAAAACACCCACGTGTTTGTGAACCTTTGCCTTGCAGGTCCTGAGAAGTGGCTACACCTCATGGTCACTTTTTACCCGAATCCACTTGTGATTCTTATTTTACAAAGGAAGGAAAATACCAGCAGCAGGACCCCAACACTGCTGTGGCCACTGCAGCCCAGAATCTGCCTCCCCCAGCAGATTTACTACCCTGGGATGCCTAATCAATGGCTGCTTCTTATCAGCCACTGAACTCTGAGCTCTTTGGCATAAAGCAGTCAGAATCCATAATATTTCATTGTGTCCCATCTGCTCCCAACTAAAAATTATGGGGATCTGGTAGAAAAATGACTCTGGTTGGCGGTGATGAGGGGATTTATTATGTGTAATAAATTTCTGTGTGTAATGTGATTTTTGGTTTGGGCTGGGTGCAGGGTGTCATTCCATCCTGCCTCTCATTTCCCTCCAAATCAGTACCTCTGTCATCTGCTTCTACACTAAAATTCCAGCCCTCTCTCTCCTTGTGTCCCATTTAGGTCACAGGAATCTAAACAGAGGGTTCCTTGGGAGCTATTCCAGGAAGGCTCTGCCTTTTGAGAAGGTGCCAAACAGGTTTGTCCACGATGGGGAAGGTCCCTCCAGGCTGAGTCTGAACTCAGCTCGTCCCCAGTTCCTGACGGTCCCATTCCCAGGATCTGTTTGTAAATTAAAAGGCTGTTTGTAATCACATTTATCTGACCTGGAGAAGAAAGCTGG